AATGTGCAGGCCAGATGAGAGCCTCAGCTGCTGCACATGAAGTTTGAGCTGGCATCCAGGAACACACAACAGCATATAACAGCCAATCTCATCACAGTGATGGAGGGGATGTGGGCCCGCTGCGGATGGAGGGACAGGATGCAAGAGGGTCGGCTTTCGAGCTCCGTAATGACAACAGAAACCTCACGACGTGGGAACAAACACACTCACAAAGGGCTTCAAAGGAAGCAGAGGGGGGACAGAGGGCAGCCACCTGCAACATGACAATAGAGCGGCCTATCTGTGATGGGCGTGGGAGCCACAGAGGCTCCCACTGTGGGCCTGCACAGAAAGGCCCCTCTGCTGTAATGTTGCCATCTGCTGGCAGCTCTGAAGTAAGATCTGGCAGGTCTGTGTGTGGCACACACACATTTCCCAGGAGCCATGTACAACTGAAGAAAAAACCTTTATGGCTGTTAATAGTGAAGCCTGAACAACATGCCCTCTTGCATTCACACTGGTACAGCGATGCAACACGATTCCAACAAGCTGTCGTCTTCCTGGCACACACTGCTTTGGACAGTCGACCTCAGCATCAGGTGAATAAAAGGCAAATGACACCATCGGGTTCCACAGGAGTTTAGAGGGGAAACAGCAAAAGCCGTATTCTCCGTTCCACATCTTGTCCAGTTTCACCATGCCTGGGTTGTTCTTAAAGGAAAGGTTTAACAGCAGTCATTAGAACCACTCTCATTCTCATCATCTTGTATCTGTGTGCTAAACAGGGGCCTCTAGCAGGGCGCTGCTAGCCTATCTTAGCTCACGCCACATTTTTGTACAGACTAAACAGATGGCATATAACTTGTTACTGAGCTATAGACATGCTGAGAGGTGGATTTTGTTACCTTAGATCAACACAAAGCTAGCTGTTTCCCCCTGTTCCCAGTCTTTATGCTAAGCTAGGAAGCTAGGCTAACCCCCAGCCTTGGACTTCTGATGCAACTCTCAGTAACAAATAGGTGTGTTTCTTAAAATGTCAAAAAGGGAAGCTGTGGAGCTGAAGATGAGTTTTGTTTATCTCCCTGTTGAGTAGAGACAAGTCCAAGTCATCACTGGGGTTGTCAGAAAAAGAAGAAACTGTCTTTTACAAACACCAGAGACAAGCTCATCACCCAGAAGTGCTCGCCCAGTCTTATGTTTTGGGGTCATGCCATATTTATAAAGTCTCAGCTTGGGAATTTTGACCTGACAGGGTCAGGATTTACAATGTGGAAAAGAAAAAATACAAACTGGACATGAGTGCTAGATCTGAGCCTAATGGCCGACTGTAAATACTGAACCTGAACTTTCTTTGGGACTCAACATTGAAGAGAAGCTGCAGAACGTCTTCTTCAGTGGCTCACTGAGGATGGTGTGAAGCTACTTCTTTGTGGTGTGAAGCTACAGTGTGATGAGTGTCTGCTTTCTGGATTTCCAGGGCTGGAAGAGTCACATCCAAGCTCACCTGAGTGGGACACACAGGAAACGCTGCTCCTGTGCCGGAAACACTAAGAGTACTGCATGAAGAATGAAACATTTCTTGGGTACCTTGGTGATTTGTGCAGACATGAGTGCTGTACCAGTGAATTTTGGCCTTGTGCACACACACACACACACACACACACACTTTGTCTCACTCCACAGATGAAGCCCAGATGGGAACAGTGAGATGAATATGAAGGCTTTCACAGCATAAATGAAAACACTCAGTCTTGTTAACACACTCCAAAAACCTCCATCCATCACAGGCCACATGTTCTCTGAAGCCTTTTACTTAACTCCTCCAGTGGGACCAGTGCTTCTCAAAATTAATTCACTTCCCATTCCACTGGGTTCACATCAAAGGCACTCATGAAAGCTAATTGGATAGTTTGTGGCCTTTATGATAAAGCGATCAGGCTGAGAAGCATGTTTCAGAGAACAAGAGCTGTTGTTGTTGACGGACACTCACCTGGGGCCATCTGACCGCCATGACCCCACTTAAACCTGCCATTAGACCCCAACGCTTCCTGAGGACTTCAGTACACGCTGCTCGCTGCATTAAGACCCAGAGAGGGACCAGTTCCTTGACAGAACATCCAGATCTGTTGTTTCTGCGGCAAATGTTCTTTTGACTTGCGGCTACTGGAAGTGTGTGGCAGCCAAACACTTCGGTAAAGTCCAACAGCTGAGTTATAGCCAAAACAGTGACAACCAAAGGAGAGCACCTTCACCTACTTCAACAGAGTTATAACTGTCAGAGTCTGCATGCTGTGTTTTATTTGCAGCGATTTCATCAAGAGACTTAATATAATTACCTGATACTGTCGGAAAAAACATTCAAATATTGTTTTTAAGTTCTCAGTCTGTCCTTTAATGTCCCTTAAACATCACTGAACCACATAAAATACCGTTTTCGGTTGTACCCTGTTTATTTGCTGCAGTACAACATGTAAAATGTTTCTGCTGATATTTGTCTTCCTGCTTTTTCATCCTAATAGATGAACTTTACCAGCGTCAGTTTAACTGGCTAATGTTTCCAAGAAATCCTTCATGTTTTCTGCATTTTCTGTCATCGGGTCATTTTGAAACTTTGCATGGGGACACGTTTTATGAGAAGAAGGAGGATGGCACAGGAAACTAGAACTGATGCACAATTAATTAAGTGTGACAAAGGAGCTATGTTGTCGTTGTTTCGTGTTACTGTTCCCCACACGTATATTAGCCTGATTAGTCTCGCACATATTGTAGATGTTGCCCGAGAGCGCCGGTATCAGCTTCACTGAACAGAAACTGAACAGGAAACCAGATTTTTTGAACGATGAACTTTTAGCAACAGGAGTTAAATAACAAGACACATCAGCTGTGTTGTTTGACCGCATCTGTTAACAAATGTTAATACTGAATAAACAGACTTTACATTTTGAAAAAAAGACCCCTGGTATCAGCCAAGAACAAGTCAGATGTGTGCCTTTCTACCAGTAAGACCAGTAAGACTAAATTCAACAAACTGGCAGATGCACTTCGTAAATGTTCAACTTCTGCAAAAACACACACAAAAAAAAAAAAAAACCCACGAGAGGTCCAGAGACGCTCGGCTGTCTTTAAAGGGCACAGCCTTCAAATCTTCATCCAGAAAACTGGAAAACAATGTTTCTGGAAGCTTCCACTTTGCTGCAGAAACCAAGTAAGTGGAGTGAGAGCAACAAGACCCTCCAAGAGGTTCGTCATAATGTCACCCACAAAGGAAGGCCTATTCAAGAACCGGAGCCACAGGCCATGTGGCCCACACACACACAAATCGCACAACTTCCAACAAATACAGAGGCTCATTCTGCTGTTATGTAGTGAGGCAGGGAGTTTGACCTAAGAGCCGGGATGAAAACAAGAGACCAGTGCATAGCAGAGACCCCAGGAGGCAGCACTTGTTGATCCCTGGTCTCTGAAGCAGAAGCACTGGGTCACTCTGAAGTGTGTGAACAGACAGCCGACTCATGCTGCACGCTCACTCGTTGCACAGATGGGAAAACCTGTCATGTCCTGAGAAAAACCTACTGAGTCATCACTCAGTCTAGCTATGTGACACAAAGTGATCAAACTGCCGCCACCTGTTAAGACACAGACGTCAGTGTGACTTCAAACATTCTGCAGGCTGAACTGAACAACTCATCGACAATCGCCTCTTTCACTGCTACATTTCATTAATGTCCGAATATCAAAACATCACAAACATACAAATAAGTCACCTCACATCATTATTTTCTGACCTAGCCCAACATTTTTGCCTAAATCTCAAGTCTACTTAACCAAGCATCCTGCTTCAAACCAGTGTCCCACTGCTGCTCACAGCCACAGAACGATTAATGTGTTGTTTCATGAGTTCCTTCCCAATATTTAAACTGTAACACAATCAGGCCAAAGCTGGACAGAGGCCTGGAAAGAGTTGCAAAGCCTCAAGTGCTTCTCTGTCACCAACATTCACTGATTGCAGCGTGGACGCGCTCGGCTTGACTAAACGACAGCTAGGGCGTCTAAAGCCCAAATCACCTTGAAGTGCTGTTAGCACCTGTCGTGGTCATTTACACATGCTGACAGTGGCATCCTGCCCTAAAATCTGTCTGCGGGCCAAACAACTGCTTTGTGTTCCACTTAAAACTCTTGCTCAGCTCTTGGCTGCATTAATGATGCATGTGCATGATGGGCCTTTGGGAGATAACATCTAAAAGTATTCCAGGAGTGATTATAAGCGGAGTGTACTGATTTAAAATACATGTTCAGTGCAGGACTGACGAGCTGTGACCTTTTGAGGGTAACCTATGCTCTCTATATACTCTCTCTCTTAAGGTGAGAGCAGGGGCAACGTTTGACTCTGGGCTGTAGTAGAGGGTTGGACAGGTTTATTCCACATTTTACCACAAATTATTAAAGTATCTGAATAGATCCAAACGGTTTTTACACTATTAGCACAAAGCCCTGGTTCTCCTTAACAAGCACCAGCACACTGGTGTCATCCGCTGCACAGCAGCCTTGGACCTGCTCCAGCATCACTGGAGGACAATTAGCACAGCTGAACATCTAATCCAGTACATTCATGTGTACACAGTCAGTCAAAGTTAACCAAATATTTATTTGATGACTTAATGTCAGGATCTATTTCAGTGTTTCCTAGTGAGACAATTTGTTTAGGTGCCATGCTTATGGGTAAATCGTTTCCATTTGTGGCTCCTCGGAGAAATCCTGCTATAAATTACATGTGGATATAATAAAAGTGGGACGTGTATCCAAAGCACCTGAGCCCCAGTTGGGGTGCCATAGCATTCGTTATATAATATATAATTCGTTATTTTTTTAAAGGATAAATCCGCTTTAGGTTCAATAATAGCAGTTTCATGGCGCGTAAAATCCACAGTCGCATCTATGTCAAAGTTAAGTGACGCGCTTTCCCCTCACACATTAAGTGACTGGTCAAGTCGTATTAATTAGAAGAAACTGCTGCTGCTTACCTTGGCACAAACAGCGAGAAGAGCCAGTCCAGTCGTCCATAACCAGACCCCTGCCATCTCTAAGGCTGATGAGCTCAGTGCGCTGTCAAGCAGCAGAGACGCAACTGTGCCTGCCCGCTGTCTGTCTGTCTGTCTGTCTGTCTGCCCCTCTGCCCCAGCCTGTCCGGTCACTCGGGGAGAAAGAGGTCCGCTCCCGTCTCCGCGCTGCGCTGCGCTCCGGCTCCAGTTCACACACAGAGGAAAAATGTGAAAGTCAGGCGAGAACCACTGGAGACGATGTGACACTTGTTCCTCCGGCAAACACGTTGCTACTAAATTTATGTTTGCATACCAGGCGTGCGTCAGGAAAGGGGCTCACCCACCTTACATTCTTAAAGAAACACGCACACTCCAGCGCTGATGGGCTGTACTGCGCACAGGCATGCAGACTTATGCATGCACACTGATGCTGTGTGCATGATAGTGGGATAAATGGCTGCACTTATACCTTTACACTGACATAATGCAAGCGTGTGTTTGATTCTGCTGCTTGTTTATGTGGCTCAAATGTAACTGTATGTTTTTATAGGACCATGAGGACTGGTCTGATCAGAGCACAAGTAAACAAGCCACGCACATATTTTATAAATCAGTAGCCTGGCTCATGTTTACATTCATGAAGATTGTGGTTTGGACAGGGACTTGAAACAAACTGTCACACGGTCAAACAGTCAAGGAAACTCGGATTCGCCAGCTCCCAACAAATGAGGACCTGTTTTGATGTGGCTGGTCCAGCCCAGCCTTGAGATTACACAGGAGGTTTTTTCAGAGCAGGAACAACTTTTTAAACAGTAAAAGACCTGGAGAGCCATAACAATTAGGCTCCACATGCTTTATGTGAAGGCCTGAAGTGTAAACCCATGGGAACCTTTGGGTGTTTTGTTTTTTTAAACACCTTAAGTCTTGAGCTGAAAAATCAACCATGTGGCACTTGTTCCTACAATATTATGACACTGAACATTTAAGTTTGATGTTTTCAGAAATACATTTATTCACATTTGTATGGTAGATGTGCACCTGGAACCTGCAGCTGGTTATCTTAGATTAGGAGAACGGGGAAACAGCCACACTGGTTCTGTTCAAACTACAAAATCAGCCTTCCAGCATCCCTAAAACTCTGGTCTTTATGCTAAGCATTATGTTACTAGATATTTACAATATAGACATAACTGTGCCATCAGTCTCCTCTTCCAAGTGTCGGTAGGAAAGTTCTTTTAAGTTTAGCAGCTGTATGTCGCAGCAGTTTGTTACAGCCCTGTTTTTATAACCCTCTAAATGTCCAATAACATGTCAATGTAGGATTTTAATCTCTCATATCAAGCCTGCTGTTGGTTCCTGCTTATCTCAAAAACTGAATCAGCCAAAAGCCGAGCTAAGTGTCGGCCTGCTTTGTTAGTTATCTAGAGAACTGAATTAACCTGAAGTAAACTAACATCCGTCCCCTGCTCACCACTTCAGCAGACCACAGGTACAACATGGAGCATGTGTTGTGCACTGTGCACCAGTTCAGAGGGTTTTGCCCACTTTTTTTACAGCTTTACTCACAACTATGAAACGCATTAGTCTTTCGAGTCGGGTGCCCGGCGCTGCCAACCACGCGCCATTTAAGGTCAAGAAGACTTTTATCTAACTCCAGCTCTGACTGCTTATGAACTGAGATCAAGTGGATGGAATGAGACGCTCCGGCTCGGGGCCTTTGCTGGGACGTGAATGAACTCCCCTGCTGTTTTCGAATTACCTTGATGGTACCCGTGTCGTTCCTGTGCAGCTCCAGTAAATACAGCAGTCCTTCAGTTCCCCCTGTCTTTGTGTGTCACATTTGTCTTGCAGCTCCTAAATGTGGCTCCAAGTTAGGGTCAAATTCTGGTCGAACCCGGTGTGTTTTAATCTCTCTGTGTTTTAATGAAATGTAGCCACCAACTGTAACAGGAAAATTACATCGTGGATATTTGATTCTATCATGTTTAACAATAAACTATAATTATTCTTGATTTACTAAGGACTGCACCATTTCCACTTGAGTAGGTAAGGAATTCTGTACAGTAATTGATGGCCGGAGTCTGCAACTCCTCTTCCCCTTGATCCCTTCATTAAACTAAGAGACATTAGCTCTTTGAAGCTCAGCCCACAGTGGTAGGGCACTTGCTTGGTGCGTTTGAAGCTGTTCAGAGCCACTGTAAAAACAAAGTTCTTAGGAAATGTCATCCATCCTCAGCCTGACTCACAGGGAGCTGCTGAGAGCCACACAGAAACACAGGCATGCGTGGTATGAGCGACCTGAATTCGTGCTCGACATGCAGGGTTGAATTCAGCTTATTCTCTACACATCAAGCACAGGAATGTAAATGTTTATGTGAAAAAAATCTTTAGCGAGGAGGGGGTGGCAATCACTTCCTCTTCAGCTCAGGGTTAAATGATTGTCCCTAATAGCCACTTGAGATTCTGCCTGACCCCCGGAGCCTCTCACTGACCTCTGACCACCCCGGCAGCCTGTAACTGGTGACACAGCCGCCACAGCCACAGCCTCACGTTACAAACTGAGTTGTTCTTATTGATAAACACCTTCAGTGGGATCGCTCATACCAAGCTCCCATCGGAGTTGCAAAATCACTGCCCTGGGCTCAGATGTATTTTTAGGGACTCTGTGAGTTTAAATAGCATCCGCCAGTTGTGCAGCAGATCTTACAGGGACTTCTCTGTGTGTGAAGACAGATAAGGGTTTGAGGCAGCAGCTAATCACAGTGTTTTTGCTGAGATCTTGTGCTTGGATGCAGCGATGGGCTGGATGCTGGCTGCTCACTGACATGTTACCAGGTCTCTTTAGAGCCAGCTGCTGCCTTCTTACTCTGCTGTTTATTCATGAACTTAAAAGCAGACATGTATGACTTTACAAGTGCAAAACAGGGCCACAGTATGTCCACTACATGTGTTGGTCTCTTAGCTAAACATACTCAGAGCAGGTCAGCGAGGGCCGTGTGAGTCTGACACCAGACATAGCTGTTTGATCAGTGATATCTGACCTGAGAGTCAAAGCTCTGTTTGTCACATGTATTCACAGAGAGGCCAGGAATGTGCCAGATACCCACTGAGAGCCTCCACAGGACACCAGCTGGGCTGTTTGTGCATTAGAGACACACGTTACTGAAACAGATTTTAAAAACACACCTTTTTTCCGTCTAAGACAAACATCTCCAGAGGTGACATTTCATGATTAAAGACATGACAGTTGGCAGTTTGGGAAACACACTTAATCACCTCCTGGACAAGACTCTGGTAAGAATATTGATGCCACTCTCACGCAGCTTGATTAAGTATAAACACTGGAAACATGGGGAAGCAGAGGGCCTCACTACCAGCACCTCAAAGGCTCATTCATGAAGCCTTCGCTGGCAACCTGACGATGACAACAAGATGCCAGGAAGTTACTGTGTCTGGCCAAGAAAAAGCATTAAGGCCCTTGTAAAACCACTTCACTTTGCACAAACACATATAAAGTGTTTTCTAGTGAGGTTTGGACACAGGCAGACTAACTTTCCAATCTCTGTGCTAAGCTAATCGACTAACTCTCAACAATAAAGGAGGAACACATTTTCCCAAACTGTCAGATTATTCTTGTAACATGAAGCACACACACCTCTCAGAGTGTTGTTGTGGCACCTTGTTATACAGCATGCAGTTCACCACCCCCTTCTGCTCTGTGGAGTTTGGCACACTATCTGTATATGTGTGTTCCTGCGTGCGCCTGCTCATGCTCGAGACTCCAGAGGAAAGGAAATGTCTTGCCTTTGCTGGCCACAGCGTTCTGGGAACGCCAGGCTTGCTAAGGATAGAGTAACCTGCCTGTCTGTCAGCACAGGTCTGTGTCAGCAGCAGGCGTCACGTTCCAGCAGACAAGTCATGTCCAGTGCACGCCGTCTGAGGGCAACGTGCCACCAGCCACCAGTCAAATATGTAGACAGTAGGCACAACACTTCTCACTGCTGCCAGCGATAGTCTGAGGAGCCAAGGGTATAGTCCTTTCTCTGTGTCTTCAGGGAAGGATCTAATTACATACAAATCCTCGCTAAAACCAAATCTGCTACTGGATGAATATTCATGTGCCTGGAGATGAATAACTTTGGCATCAGGTTCCACACAATAACTGTAAGAGATACGGTCTCTGATGTATCCTCGTCAGAGTTACTGTAGCTATTACAGCTCAGCAAGTGTCAGAAGAAAACCAGGCAGCAGAAATGGACACCGCTGTGTTGTAGTTGTTTCAGTAAGTCTGTGCAGGCGTCTGGCAGAAAGAACAAAACATCTGCAGGTTCAGAATCTTTCAGGGTCACTGCTAATGCCACAGCATTTTAAACCCCAAAGCTACTGCCATATTACACCCCAAACATTCTGATGCTGTGTGTCCTTGGATAATATTCACACAATACAAAGGGAAAACACAGTCCATGTATCTAGACCATCTTTTGAGACCGCAGGGCCCAGGAGTTCAAAACCTTTCATCTCGATCAGATCAGATTTAGAAATCCAACATTTTGTGGTCCAGGATCAGACAACCCAGCCAGATTTTGGCCCGACATTTGAAAACAATTCAGGATAAGATCAGCCTGATCCAGATTTAGATTTAAGATGACCAGATCCTGAATAGTTGTGTTTTAATTCTGCCTCTCTCCACCTAGTGGATAAGAAGAACAACAAACAGACAGTGAAGCAATTCAGAGCCGTTTCATTGATAATAATATTTTCCAAGTACATACAACTTGCTTAAAATCATAATGGAATTACAGTTTGAAAAAAAAAAGACTCCATCCTGCCAGTGGTCCCAGCTCAGCTGTTGATTTTACTACACTGGTGGCTGTGGTATAGATGCCAGAAGTCAAAAAGTCAGATTCAGATTCTCCTCACTTGACTCAGCTGTACATAAACCCCACCAGTAAGTCAGTCGCTAGCTGTTCCTGTAGGTTTCTGAGAGATGCTAATAAACGTGCGCTTCATATAGTGTCAGTACATCACAGCTCATATAACTCGTCTCCTTTATTTTGTGGAATAGGAAAAACTTAATTGCTGGATGGAGATGTGAAGCAGTGCAGGCCCAGGCCTCCCACTGAATCCTGCTCCTGGCTTTCCAGAGACCACCTGGGCAGAGGTCTGGTTGGACGCATGTCTGCTGTTGATGAGTGTGTGTGTGAATAAAAGAGAAAGACAGCGAAGGAGCGGGAAGTGGCAGACAGCTTGGCCCGGCTGTCAGCTGCTACTCAGTTCTCATTACTGCTTCTCTCATGTTCAGGCCCTGCT